CCCCCAACGGTGCCGCCTGCCCACCCGCGTCAGCCCCAGGCACAAACACCAGGCGTTCCAGGTCTTGAATCTGGTCCAGAGACTGCTCATCGGATGCAATTGTGTGTGGTGGGAACAGCACACTCCCATGCAAACACGGTGCTCTTGGGGAGACAGCAAAATCTCCTTGATCGCATCTCCCGGGACTCGGTTCCACTCTGACCACAGGACCCTCCCAGAGGCACCACGAGAACTATGCACGATTGCACCGTGTAATTTCCGTCTGGGAAGTGAAATACCTCTGCCGTGACATCACCGGCCCCTGGAGAGGACCACGCCTCCTTCGCCAAGACAGCCACCTGCCGCCTTCAGGATCCTGTCCTTGTGGCGCCCCTCCCGCCGCCCACCCATGACCTTGGACTCCTATTACCCTGAACCCTGCACCAGGGCGTGTGTGTGGCTCCCACTTCCATCCGGCCCAGGGTTTGCGCCCCCCCCCCTTCCTGTACCCCCAGCAAAGCGCAGGGGAGCTGCACAGCCTGGAGAGGGCCCTGGAGAGGGCCCTGGAGAGGGCCCTGGAGCTCTCATGTGCACTTCCCGTGCAGGACCGCATGGATCGGGTCTGGGGCCCCTGCTGGTGACCAGCCAAGCGCAGCAGCAGAACGGTGACATCATGCGAGCCCACAGCTCTGGCTCTCTTCGCAGTGGGAATGGGGACAGGCTCTCGTGCTAGGCGGGGCATGCCAGCGATGGCTCAGGAGCGGGTACAGTGGTCAGAAAGGAGATTTGGCCTCGTCTGTTGTATCCTGAATTTTTTTTAAGTGAAAGCATGTGTGCGCCTCAGCAATAGAGACACCGGTTTTGTTTAGCATTGAAGGGGCAAGGCGCCTGCTGCTTTGCCCTCAGGCCCCAGGGCAGGAGGAGGGGGTGTCTAACTTCTGCTCTAATTACCAGGGAGAGAGCACACACCCCCTTGGCCCGCACCATCCCCCATGGCCTCCAGGCACCCGATGGAAGGGGCAGAGTCTGCAGTCACCCGGGCAGACGGTGCTAAGTGAACACAGGGACAATGGACATGGGTCCCTTCCCCATCGTCACACGGGAGTCAGTCCCGGAGGGGGAGCGATGGGGGGGGGAGTCTGCAAAGGGGAACATCCTGGAGAAAGTGAGGATACAGATGGGAGAGCTCGGGTCACTCCCAGGGCAGCCCCCCCTTCACCAACCGTGGTCATCCGGAGGCCTCACGGCATCCCCCTCGTCTACATCCTGGCCACCCCTCTGCTCAGGGGGTCCCGGCTGGAGCCCCTGACACTGTGAAAGCTGTTTTTTTGTTACCACCAGTACAGACACGGCCTAGACACCCAGGGTACAGAGGGGCAGAGGGGCTGACATCTCCCCCTCCCGGAGCCCCTAACCACCCCATGTCCAGGAAGGGGGTGGTGGTATGCTTGGGCACCAAGGCCCCAGGGTCATGGCAGCTGTGTCACTGCGCCAGCCCTGACAGTCGCTGTGAGACCCCCAGCAGATGCACACCCTCTCTGCGCCTCTGATTCTACAGCAGCCTGCGAAATGTGCGGTGTCGCCGGGGATGGGGAGGCGTGTCAGTGTTGGTGGCCAAGCCAGAGAGCCTGGCAGAGGCTTGGGTCCCCCCGTTGCCGCAGCCCCAGCACACCTGCAGACTCAGGGTACCGTAGCATGTGTGGACATTGCACAAGCCTCTGGGCAGGGACGGCTCTGGGACCCCAGGGGTGAGCACAGGGAGGAGCCCCGTGTCACCCAGGACCTGGTCCGCAGGCCTCCTCCCCTTCCCTTCCAGGCAGGCCCCCTGAGGACGGGTTTGCTGGGGGCTTGCCATGTCCCTCACCCCTGCCCCAGCCTTGGTCCTCGGCGGCTCCCCTCCATCACAGCCACGCAGGGACAGGGTCAGGATAGGGACCTGCGCCTTCTGGCCTGGCCGTGCCCTCTGCAGGGACCCAGCCCATCCTTCTTCCTTCCAGGGGGGCCCAGGGTAAGTCCCCATGCGGCATGTGCATGTCCCCAGACCCTTCAGTGAGTTCACCAATCAGGCCATCTTCCTCTCCAGAGGCCAAGACTCAGGTCAGGGCACCAGCCCAGGAGCCCACCTTCCCTCCCACGCCCATGGCCCCCATCTCCCTCACAACCCTTGGGGACCTCCCAGAGTCTCCACAGTCCCCCCAGCCACGTGTCCCTCCAGGGATATCACCCTCGCAGGGGGTGGGCAGCACCAGAGGTTCCTGCAGGTTCCCCAAGGATCCCAGCATGTGGACAAGCTCGGGGGTGACCCAGAGCCCACATGTGGCCAAGTGCTTTAAGCCCCCAGAACCCACCCTTGCCCCAGAACCCTGTCCGACTCCTGACATCAGGACAAGCCACAGGTTCTAGCAAAAAGCTGCTGTTGTAAAGTCACATATACAGCGGGCCTGCTCACGGTGAAACGGGTTAAAAAGTGTAGATGGACATGCAGCCACATTCAAAATCCTCTGATGGGGACGCCTGAGGGGCTCAGCAGGTGAGCATCTACCTTTGGCTCTCAGGGGGTAACCCCGGGGTCCTGGGATCGAGTCCCACATCGGGCTCCTCTTAGGGAGCTTGCTTCTCCCTCTGCCTATGTCTCTGCCTCTCTCCCTGTGTGTCTCTCATGAATAAATAAAATCTTTAAAAAAAATCCTCCAACTACACAGTAGTGTCTTCATTACATTTACAAACCATAAAGGTAAATATAAGTAGTGAAGCTAATTGCCGACAGACTCAATTGTTTTATGGACAAAATTCTGGGAAACAGAAACACGTGTAAAATGCTCTAAATAAATCGACACGAAATGTATCACATCTAAATGTGTCCTAATGGAGGTGCAATTATCTGCATCATTTTTTCTTGTCTGACCAATGCACCCTGCATTTCCCTGTGGAAACAAGTGTTTTTTTATTCACCTGATTCACTGACGCACCTGTGATTTGGGACAAGTTGCCTTTACCGGGACCTGGTTCCTCAAATCTTTGGGTCACTCAGTCATGTCATTAGTAACAGGATGTGGACTCCAGCAAAAAAGGGAAAAGGTGCCTTTTGTACACTCACAGGGAAGCAACCTCGCACACAAGTTCTGGGGGCACCTGGCCTTATGTCCCCTCTAGGCCCCCAGTTGAGTCCAGAGCAACAAGGAGACAGGAGCCAAACCACGTGAGGTGATCACCTAGCAGCTGAGTGTGCTCCCAGGATCCAAACTCAGCCCTCCATGCCCTCTATCAGTGGGGGAAGACCAGCCACGGCCACTTTTCCTGGGTTCAGAGTCTGACCGGGGGAGAGCCTGGGGGTGGCAGGACATGTATTTGCTACCTCGTTGTCATCCCCCTGTGCCGCCCCTGCCGTGCCTCAGTTTCTTTATCTGAAGCCAGGATGATGAAATAGAACCTTCCTTGATGCCTCTTACCCGGTGAGCACGACTGCAGCATTTGTACCTCAGGGCCACAGGCTGCTCTCGGGGCCAGCCCCGCAAGGCAAGCACCGCTGCAAAGAGGGTCACGGGATTCCTCTGGCTTCCCCATGAATATACGAGTTAGGTTCACACCATACTGTCGTCTATAAAACAATGTACCAGCTTAATCTAAAAATACATTGCTCAAAAATGCCAGCCTTCCTGAGCTTTTAGTGAGTCCTGACTACTGATCACAGGTCCCATCACTTCAAAAACAAACCTGAAAAGTTTGAGGGACGCCTGGGGGCCCAGCAGGTGAGTGTCTGGCTTCGGCTCAGGGCGTGATCCCGGGGTCCTGGGAAAGTGTCCCACATCGGGTTCCCCACTGGGAGCCTGCTTCTCCCTCTGCCTGTGTCTCTGCCTCTCTCTGTGTGTCTCTCATGGATAAATAAGTAAAATATTTTTTAAAAATTAAAAAGAAAAGTTTAAAGTACTGTGACAATTACCAAATATGACCCAGAGACAGGACATGAGCAAATGCTGTCGGAGACGCGGTGCGGGCAGCCATGCGGGACGTAGGGTGGCCAAGACCCTCACTTCGTGAAACGCACAGTCCCTGTGAGGCGCGGCGAGGTGCCCTGTGGATTCACAGGCGAGGAGAGCACCCCCCGGGGTGGCCTGCCCGTCGTCCTTCATCACCAAGCTGCTCAGTGACCTATGCCTGAACCTGCCATCTTGGCACACAGCACCTGCACCCCCGACTCCCCACCCAGTCCTCCGAGTGCCAGGGATCCGGGGATGGTGCAGGTGCAGGAAGCCCCCTGCAGAGCAGGAGGGAGGACAGAGGTGTCCGGAAGGGGATGTGTGGCCCCTGGGAGCAGGGGTCAGTCGCAGGCGCGGGCCCTCCTGGGTCAAAGCCGAGGGACTTGCAGCCCCTGGGCTGAGGTTTGGGGAAATCGCTCGCCGCCCCAGCACAGTCTGTTCGCAGCCGGCACTTTCAGTTTTGTTTCTTTGTCTGCAAGAAACGAAACTCACCAGGAGGAGAGGCCCTGAGGCTGAGGCGGAGCAGGAGAGGCTCACCCCAGAGGTGACCGTGAGATGCAGCTCCTGGCTGGGGGGTGGGGGTGGGGGCATCAGAGCCACAGGAGGCCCCCAGGGCAGGAAGGGGCAGGAAGGGAGGGTTAAACTCAGTGGAGCCCAGAGGACGGGGGACAGGGGTCAGGCGCTACCCACCCCGGGGACAGTGAGACAACCTGCGGCAGCCCCAAAGCCTGAGGCCAGTTGTCCCCAGTGGGCTGCTCCTAGAGCAGGGTACTGATGTGAGGGAGACAGCCCCCCGCCCCCGACACCTCCAGGGCCGTCCCCACCTGGCCCCTTGCAGCCTCACCCACCCCTTCTTGCAGGCAGACCTCCTGTGGATGTTGTGACCCTGCTTTGCCCTGCCGGGAGGGGACATGGGTGATCTCACCGTCTTGCTTGTGCTTGAGGCCTGAGACCTCCTCCCCGGCCCTGGGTGAGGACTACGGCTGTACTATCGCACCACCCAATGGCCCGTTTTTCTCTCCCCTTGATCCGCAGCAAGAAGAGCGTGGCCTCTGCCCACCTGGCCGTCCATCCGTCAGTCCATGAGACCCACTGCCTGCTGATCCATCCCCAGCCCGAGGCAGGGAGCCCATCCCACAGGTGAAGATGGACGACCATGAGCCCCACCAGCAGGTGCGGAGGCAGAGGTGCAGGGGTCCTGGGCATCAACCCAGTGCCGCTGACACAGTGGCCCCTCCCCCACCATGTCCTCACGGACCAGACCGGGCAAGTGGTCCCTGTTTCAGGAAAGGCTGGATGTCCTGAGAGGAGGGGACGCAGGCCAGGAAAGCTCTAAAAAATAGCCAGGCCAAGGCCAGCTTCCTTTCCTGCTTCTTCACATGGGTGCCCCCTGCAGCCCCTCCCGCCTGACCTGCAGGTCCCCCAGCAGCTCCCCCATCCCCCAGCAGCTCCCCCATCCCCCAACCCTCAGGTCCCCTGCAGCCCCCTCCCTCTCCCCTGACACTCAGGTCTGGGCAGATGGGTCCCACACTCACTTCCTGAGCATGGGGCTGGTGCTGCAGAGGGACAGGCAGCCACCCTGGCCCCTGCTCCCAGGAGCCCCCAGACGGTAGCCTAGGCAGACACAGAGGGAGGCTGCGGGTATGGCTGGGACCCTGGCTTCTGTGTGTAGTCAGATGTTGGTGGGTCACAGCCGTGCAGAGTCATCTTCCAGGGGGTCAGGGTCCAGCATGGTTTCCTAACAAACAAGCAGGCAGGGGGTGGGGTGGCACAGGGGGTGGGGTGCAGAGACACCACTGTCTTCTATCCAAGGTAGGTGCGAGGGGCAAGGGAGAAGGAGCTCACCATAGGGACACAGGGCCCCCGTTCCCCAGAGGCTGGTAGAAGAGCCTCCTGTGGCCCCTGCACCCAAGACGGCCGCTGCTCCCCAGGGGGAGTCCCTCTTGGGCCCTCCTGTCTGCTCCTCATGCACTCCAGTGCCCCAGGCAGATCGGCTCCTGTCCCCACCAGGGCTGCCTTGCCTGGGGTCTGGTGACCTTGCCTGTCCTCTCTGCCTCCCTGTAGGCTGCGGAATACTTGGAGCGCCCCATGGAGCATGGATTCCATGAGCTGGCTGGGCGCCTCAGCGCCCTGGGCCTACATGAGCCCCACGGTGCCAGCTGCAGGGAGCTGTGCCCAGACTGCGGCCACCCCATTGGGCTCCGGGTGTGTCAGAGAGAACAGGCCCGGCTCAGCACAGGTGAGGGCCAGGGTGGAGAGGGCAGGGGGGCTCCCGGGTAAGGGTGGACACAGGGACGGGGGTCTCAGCAGGACAGGCGATGGCTGTGCGCATCTCCCATCCGCCTGGCTGTTGGAGTTCTGGACCTCGGACCTGAACGGCCTCCCAGTGTCATCCACTGTAGTCCTCTGGGGACTGGTCTAGGGGGACCAAGAGGCTGGGACAGAGTCCAGGGACCCCCGCACAACAGGAGGCTTCGCTTGAACTCCCACAGGATGCTCCCAACCTGGGAGAGATCCACCTGCACCCTTCCGCCGGTACACAGAGCTTGCAGGCGGTCACAAGACATGTCTCCTGCAAGACAATCCAGACGAGGTCAAAACCAGCACATGAAAAACTGGGATCCTTGAGACTCGCACCATTTCCTGCATCTCAGCGTGGCTGGGCTTGCGCACGGTGTCATCAACATGACACGGCTTCCACACACCCAACATGCAGACATGCACACAGACACCAGCTTGCTGCCAGAGCCTCTGGGACACTGGCGCCGTGGCCTCCTCCTAAACCAGTCCTGCTCCAGTAAACCACCTCGTCATCGGGGTTCCCACGCTGCCCCAGGAACCACCGCCGTCCGTGGCCATGCAGGGCATCTCATGGGTGATCTGGCCAGTGACGCGGGCAGTGTGGGACACTCACAGCTAGGCAGGCCTGGGGACAGCTGGTGCTCAGGACCGCCAGGGACAAAGGCCATGGACGGGGCTACAGGGGAGCTGGCCTAGCTGCTGCCGAGGGCCATCATTTATGGCGCTGTTTCTGTGCTTATTCAGGGACAAGAATTTCACCTCCTAAACATGACATCTACTGTCGTTATTGCAACCAGGCGATCCCAGGAAATAAGGACTTCGACCGGATGGTGAGTAGAAATTTGTCACTTTCTGCTCATCCCTACTCCAAACATGTGGTGTTGGCAGGTAGGATTTGGGCCTGACCCTACACAGCAGGGCTACTACAGGTTCCCATACTTGTTGCCATGCTTAGGGAGGGAGGTGGGTGGCTCGCTCTGGTGACCCAACACTTGTGCACCTCCTTGGCCCCCAGCTTCTGGACTTGGTGGTTTGACCCCCGGTAGGACCTGCCTTGCTCTGTTCTGCTCTTGATGCGAATGGTCTCAGTTGGATGTGAGCTCCGGCAGGAGTGAGCAACTTTCTCCATCTTTGCACAGGGTAGCCTGCATCAGGTACCAAAAAAGGGGGCTTGGTCGAGGTTCCCTATGGGATTGACCAGGCTGGGGGGAGGGAGGACACTCACAGATCCTCCCTTTCTCCCCTGAGCACCTATTCGTGCCTCTACTGGATGTTCACCTTTCCTCTGGGGAAACTCACTAAGGCTCCTCCTCTCTTGTGTGAAGAGTGTGACCCTGTCCTAACCTTCCACTCAAAGAGCTGAGGCTTACCAAGACCCTAGGACAGTCTGGGTCTTCCCTTGTGGTGGTAAAATATGCACACAATCCACCGTCAGTGCAGCCACCCCCAGTCTCCGCTCCAGAGCATCTTCATCACCCTAGAAAGGAGCCCCACACTGGTGGGACACCTCCCATCCCCAAATCCTCCATGGATTTGCCTGTTGCCAACATTCCCTACAGATGGACTGCTAGGTCATGTGGTCTTAGGCCACCGGCTTCTGTGGAGCAGAGGCCTCCAGGGTTCACCCACCTCGCAGCCCCTGCTGGGATTTGATCCTTTGTGTGGCTTCCTATGGGCCTGACACACTTCATCTGCACGCTCCCTCCCTCGGCTGCCAAGGGGCATAAGGGCTGCTTCCACCGTCTAGTGCTGGTGTTTAAAGGCACAGTCCACCGGGAGGTGGGGGGGTAAGTACCATCAGGGTCACTTGGGAATTTGTCGGAAATGCAGGATCTTCTCCACCCCACCCACAGAAAGGCTACTTGAGACCCGGCAGGTCCACTCCCTGTCCCGTGGAGACAGTCTTGTCCCACCCTCGCACTCACCCCCGTCTGACCTTTGCACACTGCCAACCGCCCTTCCCAAAATCAATGATCTTCACACTGCTAAACTCAACGGCCAGTTCTCAGCCCTCATTTTGTGGAGCATCCAAGGCCACTGCTTGTCACCTCCCTTCCTCCATGTTCTCTCTTGGCCTCCAGAATTCCATACTCTTCCTGGTTATCAGTTTCCCCACTGATGTCTCCCTCACTGGCTCCCCACCCTCTAAATTTTGGGGACACTTGTCTCAACAATTTCATCCACTCTTATTTTTAAAAATGCCTTACACTCAACAGTTTGGCACCTGCCTTTGGCCCAGGGCGCGATCCTGGAGTCCCAAGATCCAGTCCTGTGTCGGGCTCCCTGCAGGGAGCCTGCCTCTCCCTCCACCTGTGTCTCTGCCTCTCTCTCTCTCTCTCTCTGTGTGTGTGTGTGTGTGTGTGTGTATCACAAATAAATAAATATTTTAAAAATGCCTTATATATGGGGCACCTGGGTGGCTCAGTGGTTGAGCATCTGCCTTCGGCTCACGGCATGACTACTGGGTCCTGGGAACGAGTCTCACGTGGGGCTCCCTGCAGGGAGCCTGCTTCTCCCTCTGCCTGTGTCTCTCATGAATAAAAAAAATCTTTAAAAGATAAATGCCTTGTGTAGGCAGACAGTCCCAAATTTAGCTCATCCTGGACTCTTCTCCCAAACTCCAGCCTCGTGTATCTCTGCTTACGCAGCATTGTCTCCTGTCTCTTAAACGTAACATGAGATTCCCTCTGCCATAGCTTTTCCCAGCTCAGCTGACAGCAACTCCATCCTTTCAGTCATTCAGGACAAAACTTCAGGCTTGTGCTGACTCCTCTCTCCCTCAAACCCTACATCCAGTCCACTAGGAAAGACTCTTTCCTGCCTCCGCTGTTCACACTTATGCCAATGCCGTCTCCTCCAGTCCCCATCCCTGCAGCCTCCAAATGGGTCCCCCTGCCTCTAACCTTTGTTCAAACCACAGCTGTCAACACGATCCTTTAAAAAATGCGGGTCAGACCGTTCTGTGGCTCTGTTCACAGTTCTGCCTGGGTTCCCGGCCCATGTCACACAGAGTCAGGATCCTTACAATGGCCTCCCCTCCTCACTGTCACCACTCTGACCTCCTCGGCCACTTCAACTCCATGTCTGCAGGTGGTTCCTCGAGCACATCGTGCCCTGGGTCCCTTTCACTGACTGCTCTGTCTGCCTGGAAGCCGCTCAACCACCACCACCACCACGTTCCCAAAGTTAACGCTTGCCTCCGTCAAGTCTTTGTTCAAAAGGCACCTTCTTGGGATCCCTGGGTGGTGCAGCGGTTTAGCGCCTGCCTTTGGCCCAGGGCGCAATCCTGGAGACCTGGGATCAAATCCCACGTCGGACTCCCGGTGCATGGAGCCTGCTTCTCCCTCTGCCTGTGTCTCTGCCTCTCTCTCTGTGTGTGACTATCATAAGTAAATAAAAATTAAAAAAAAAATCTTCAAAAGGCACCTTCTTGTGGAGATGTCTCTTGACAACATATTGAATCCCCACCCCACATGCACCAACCCCCTTACCTTTCTCTACTGTTTTCTAGGGCATTTATCAACTTTTTTTTTTCAAGATTTGATTTATTTGACAGAGAGAGCACAAGTAGGGGAGCAGCAGGCAGAGGGAGAGGGAGAAGCAGGCTCTCTGCTGAGCAGGGAGCCCAATGTGGGGCTCAACCCCAGGATCCCAGGATCATGACCTGAGCTGAAGCCAAATGCTTAACTGATTGAGCCCCCCAGGTGCTCCATCAACTTCTAACGTATTATGTAATTTACTTACATATTGTGGCCCAGTTAAACAAATTCCACTACTCCCTTCAAGCTACTTTCTCATCCTATTACCTGTTTCTTCTGGTATTTATCTCCTACTTCTCAAGCACCTTCTTACACTGTTATTTTCTTTTCCAATTTTAGATATGATCTATTAATCCATGAGGATTCAGGGATATGGATTTCTCTTTCTTACACCAGCTATCCTATGCATACCTGCTATCCTATACACACCTCCTTCTCTCTACCTGCCCATTGTGGTTAAAGCCATATTCAACATTATGTTATTAGGATCATGTAAATATTGTAAATGTGCCACACAAATCATGATTACATGCACTTTCTTCTATAACTTTTGATTTTTCCCTGGAGTTAGTTATTGCTTCAGTTTTTCATTTGCTTCACTTTCTAGGTACCTGTCAGTAAGTCATTCCTAAAATTTTCTACTGGACCTGAAAAATTTCCCCTTGGTATAATCAAGCACAGTAGTATCCATTTCAGTTTGAGGGCATGGTGCTCCCTAGATCTGATAAATAGCTGTCATTCTGGGATTTACCTCTACTCTCTCCAGTGTTGGAGTTCTCTTCCTAAATTCCAGGTTTAGGTCATCTCTTTCTTGTTCTACCCTTTCTTTGGGAGAACATATCCTCAAATAGTTTAAGAAAGAAAGCACAAAGGGCAATTTTTAAAAAGATTTATTTGAGAGAGAGGGAGGGAAGGAGGGGCAGACGGAGACGGAGAGAGAATCTCAAACAGACACCCCACTGAGCATGGAGCCTGACACAGGGCTCAATGTCATGACCCTGAGATCATGACCTCAGCTGAAATCAAGAGCCAGATGTGTAACTGACAGAGCTACCCAGGTGCTCCTCTTTCCTGCAATCTTGAGTGGCCGTTGGGTTAACTTATTCCCTCTGGCCATGTGGAAGGCTGCCGCTCATCTCCCTCCTCTGCCGTCGCTGCTGACCAGTCCTCTCTCTGCATAACTGACACCCTGTGTAGATGTTCTTTTTCTTTGATTTCAGGATCCTCTTCGTCTTTGATCTGTAGTTACATGTCACTAAACGATTTATGTTTCACTCATCCCACTCAGAACAATGAACTGAAATCTCCCTCAGATTTCTGCCCAAATCTAAAGTTGTATGTCTTTAATCAAAGTTCTAGGAAATTATCATATATAATCTCCTTAAATACCTAATCCTCCCTCCCTCCCTCTCACACATTCTCCAGACTCTTCTATGGAACTTGTGGGATGTGATCTAAGCCTTTCTAGTTCACGTCTTTCACATTTTCTACTTTCCTCTCCTCTTCTGAGTAATCTCTTCAAATCTTCAAGTTCGCTCTTTCTTACCCAAATCCATCCTACTGGGTTTGGCCCATCCGGGAAAGCTCAATGTCTGTATTTTTCACCTCTAGAAGTTCCACTTACCTTTCTTTCAGATTTGCCTATTCTCTTCACAGGATCTTATTCTTTTCTCTCATTTACAGGATCTTATTCTTTTCTCTCATTTACATCCTTCCCGATTAGCTTAGTTTACAGCATCTCTGCCATAGTTCTGTTTTTCTGAAGTTTCTGGAGCTTGTGCTCATGCCTCTGACTCTAGGGTGACTGCTTCTTTGGGTGTAGGCCTAGGTCTCCATTTGGTGGGCCGCCACCTGTGAGCATGACCCAGTTTGAGGCTGTGTGTCCTCCAGAGGGATTTCGTGATTGCTTCTGCCAGACTTCCCAGTTTTCATGTTAATTTGTAAGGACTGGATAGTTTCAGATCATGAGTCTAATGTAAACCTGAACCCCAAATACAAGAACGGCAGGGGCCTGTGATTTTGAGTTTTCAGGAGACGGAGTTTTTATTCCCTGTGCTCAGATCCCAGGGTAGACAAGCTGGCTTGTCCCTTTCCTTTTCAGGTGAGCTGGTGCTTTCCTATTGGCCATCAGTTTACCTACAGGTTCTGAGCTCTACACAGAGAGAGGGGAAGCTTACTTCCAACACCCCTTCCTCACTTTGCGTGGACAGGCTTATCTCTTATCCAAGCCCTGTTACCAAACCGACCCCACGTCTCCCCTCAAAGTGTCAGCAAGTACGTGTGCTTTAGAGCGTAGGCCTTCGTTCCAAGAACGTGGAGTCATATGGTTTCTTTCCTACAAAGTCAACTGTCAACTTAAATTAATGTTTGTCACATTTTATCCAGCATTTCTTAGTGTTTGTAGTGGGAGCTTTCAGGTCTTCTAGTTTGTTATGTTGTCCAACTATTAAAGCCAAAGTCATTTTTTAAAAAACTTTTTAATTTTCTACATTACTCACAATTGCAGGATAAGCGACATCTGGTCCCAGAGCTTGAGAAATGCTTTCCAGTTGGGAAGCCAGGAATACCTCCTGCTCCCCACCCCAGTCACACCGCTCAAGAGCAGACCTCCAAGGCAGAAAAGGATGTCCGTCCGAAAATCAAAAAGAGAAACAGGTGTCCTCTTCCTTCTCAAAATTCAACAAAGCAAGCAGCAAGAGGTGCAAACAGAACCACGACCCTGCCTTTGCCTCTGAGGTTGGGGCACCACGACCCCAGGCTCACCTTCCCTGCAGAAGACGAGGCAGCCTATAGCACTCTGGGGGGGTGTTCTTGCTGTGGCATCCTGCTCCCCCAGCCCATCCTAAGTCAACACCAGGTACCCAGCCCTCTGTCTTCTGCTTCCCCACCAGCCTTCTGGACAGCATGTCCAGAAACCTGAGACCCAGAGGCACCTGCAGATGCTGCCACCAGGCCCTTCTCTCCGTCTCCCTCTTGTCCATGGGCCCAGGTGAACGCTCTCAGAGCACTAGCCACTCAGCTTCTCTGCATACTCTCCCAGAGCCTGGGCCACCTTTGAAGGCAGAGCTGGATCTATCTGTGTCTCCAGCTCCCAGGCCAGAGGCAGCACAGGGCATCCAGCATAGCTCCCTCACGGTACATAGAGCAACTGAGGCCCGGAGATCAGATGAGTCTTGTTGAGATCCTGAGTTGGTGGCTCGCCTCCCACACACCAGGGTTTATAGCCATTTCCCTCAATATCCTAATTATTTTTACATCCTAAATTATTTTCTAGTAACAAGAACAACTGGCATTAGAGGTACTTAACCATCATCCATCAGCGAGAACAGGAAGCTCTTTACAAATGGTTATTCTTCATCATGAACAACAAGCAGGCATATTATTCCTGTTGAGATGAGGAAACTAGAGAGAAGGAGCTGCCCCAGGGCGACACAATGGGAGGGTCGCAGAATCCAGCAGGGATGCCACCTGAATGTCATTCCAGAGCTCATCTCTTCAGCTTCATGCTGCATGCCTCATTCAAAAAAACAAACAAAAACCCCACAAACTTTCATTATTTGTTGTTTTCAAAATATAAAAGTACTAGATTTAAAATAATAATAATAATAATAATAATAAAAATAATAAAAGTACTAGATTTTGTTGTAACCAGTTGACATAATACCATGCAAGGAAACAGAAGGGCAAGGCCACCCTATTATATAAACACAAACATACACGTTGGGAGTCTGATCATACGCATTTCTTTGTATCTTATTGCTCTGATCCCAAAATACCCAGCGTAAGTCTCTGCGCCAAATGGTGTGGCCCTTTAACAGCTGCACAAGAGGGCACGGTGTCGTTCCCCGCCCCCCACCCCTCCACAGCCCCAGAGAAGGATAGGTCTCAAGACCCACAGCCCAGACACTCTGCTCTGGGGACAGTAATAGGCAGGAACTAGCCTCTGCCCTTTCAACACAGCAAACCATTTCATACCCGTTTCCCTAGGAGAGATGCTGGTGGCTAGCATCATCCAGAGGAACGCACAGGACCGGCTCCGGCTGACCTGGGCCAGGACAGAAGCCTGCACTCCTCACCGTCTGCCTGCTCTCCGGGCCATCTTTCCTTGAGAGAAGACACTGGGTTTCTGCTTTGGGTTCTTCCGTATAGAAGACAAGGTTGTGGGCAGCCCCGGTGGCACAGTGGTTTAGTGCCGCCTGCAGCCCAGGGCCTGATCCTGGAGTCCCGGGATCGAGTCCCACATTGGGCTCTCTGCATGGAGCCTGCTTCTCCCTCTGCCTGTGTCTCTGCCTCTTTCTCTCTCTCTGCATCTCTATGAATAAATAAATAAAATCTTAAAAAAAAAAAAAAAGAAGACAAGGTTGTTTCCTTCTTTTGAACAGAGATGTTGGTTTGCTGGAAGCCACGGGAGAATCCCAGGTGGTGGGCACCTGGATCAGACATCTGCCCTCCCTCCCCACTCCACCCCGCCCTGTCCTGGGTGAAACCAGGCTTGTCCCTGGGAAATAAAAGTACCCTCCCTGGAAGCTGTCCATCTTCCTTGAGACTCCTCATGGGTGTTTCCCGGTCAGAGACAGCAGGTGGGACATAGCATGAGGCAGGGCACAGGGAAAGGGGCCACGGAAGGGGGGTGGACCCAGGGGGAGCCCTGGGGCTGCAGCCAGAGGCCACGGATGCAGCCTTCCCGCAGGGCAATGCAATCAGCACTGCTGCCTTTCTGCCTGGCCTCTGGGGAGACCCACTAGGGCTGCCAGGGAGGTGGGCGCGGGCCCATGTGAGTTGGATGCGCTCCACCCTCTGGAAGCTGGGAGGGAGATGGGGCTCTTCTCAAGCCTCATCCTCATCCTCTGGTGGGCGCAGGCCACCCTGGGAGGCTTTGGCTGGAGCTGCAGGAAGTGGGAGCTGGAGCCGAGAGGGCTCCCCAGGCCCCAGAGCTGGGTCAGCACAGGGATCACCCCATCCCACCCCACCCCCTGGACCCAACCCCCTGCCATGCCCCCCGCCCCCCCCCCAGACCCCAGACTCCACGCCCTGGCTCCAGTCCCCCAGGCCCCCATGGCCCACCCTTGGCCCCGGGCCCCAAATCTTCTGGTTCACTGGACCCTAGACCCTGGTCGCCTTCTTCCCCCACCGACTCCAGGTCCCCAGCACCCCATCCCCCTGGTGCCCCAACCTATCTCTGGATTCCTGGAGACCCCTGCCCCTGAACCCCCTACCCCTCCCCAGCCCCTCCACAGACCCCTGGACCCTCAGCCCCCCAGTGCCCCACTCTGACCAAACCTCCTCGCATTCCTGGACACCCCTGCCCCTGCCCCCAGGCATCCCTGCCTATGGAACCACAGTACCCCAGCACCAGGCCCCCCAGCATCCTTGCTTCTGGCACCCCAAATCTCCAGGCCCTCCAGAAACCCCCCTCCCGACCCCCTCCCACTGCCTCCCCAGCTTCCCCTGCCCAGTCACCGGGGCCCTCCCCTCCCCTCTCCCCTCTCCCCGTGCCCAAACCTCCCCCTCCTCATCCCCAGCGCCCCCTCCACGGACTCCCGGACCCTGGGCCCCCTCCCCACCCCCCACATCTGGTGGTGCCCGAGCTTCCCCTCCCCCACCCCAACGCGCGCTCAGGTACACACACATGTGGTGCCCCCTCCCTCCCGGCTACCCTCGCCCCCCCGCGGCCCCCTGCCGCCCCCAGTCCTAGGGCCCCCCAGGTCCCTCCCCGCCGCTCCTCCGCCTGGCCCTGGAGGGCGCACCTTCCCGGACCCTCGGTGCGGTGGGTCCTGCCCTCTGACGCCCCCAGGTCTGGGCCCCGCAGCCCGGGGCCGGAGCAGATCCCGGCGCGCGTCACAAAGGCGGCGGCCCTGGCTCCCAGCACCCCCCACCCCCCACCCCGGAGGGCGCGGGCGCGCGTCGGGGAGTCGGCGTCCGAGCGCAGGCGGCGCGGGCGGGGCAGGCAGCGGCTCGCGGTCTCCGCAGCCCGAACGGGGCACAGCGGGCGGGGCGCGGCGAGCGGGTAACGGCCCTACGCCGCCTCCTGGAAGCCGTCCTGGGGCACCTTACCCTTTCCTCCCGGGTTGGCAGCTGGGGCAGGTGCACGCGCCCTGGTCCGGAGTGGGTTGGAATCCCACCTCCCCATGGTTAGGGCCGCACTGGGAGCCCTCCTCAACTCTCTCCGCTCGCTCCCGTCGTCAGCTGGGTGTGTTCGCCCCTCCCCGGGGGAGCCAGGAATGCCTGGCGTCAGCTCGCTAGGGCGCAAACCCTCGGGAGCATCGGCTGTGCGCCCCTCTACCCCCCCTCCCGCCCTTCCAGCACCTTCCACCCCCTTCCACCCGTGAGCTCATTTAAGCTCCTGGCACAGGGAGAGACGCCATTCTTAACCCCGGTTTGCAGAAGTGGGGCTGGAAGAAAACGAAGGTCCTGCATGGCAGCTGAGATACCGGGGTCCAGCCGTGGAGCCCACGGGCAGGCCCGCCGGGAGGTTTGAGGGAAGGGGAGACGGTCCCTGCAAGGACTCCACAGCTTTCCCAGTCGCCCAGATGCGCTCTCTGGACACCGCACATGGAACCACCCTGGGGACACTGCCCCCTGCTCAGTGTTCTGACCCCTAACTGCCTGGAGCAAAGGCTTCCTTTAGCTCGGGAACTGGTCTAGCTTTTTCCTGAGCACCTGGCTCCCCACTAAGTGCCGGGGACAACCTGACGGGGCTGCGAGCAGCCTCTGTAAATGAAGATACGCGGACCTCTTCCTTTGTTAAGTGTGCAAGTGCTGCTCAGAAGGAGAATGAGGCTGTCCCCAGGGTCAAAGGTGATGCAGGTGGGACGAAGGTTAACCTGAGAAATAGACACGGGGGACGGGGAACCAGGAGGCAGCAGGCTGTGATTCTGGGCACCCGTGGATGCCTCGTCCTGGACGGGGACAGGCTGCTGCCACACCCCATGGGGACCTCTTGTGGCCCTGGAGAAGGGAGAGCCACTGGGGCTGGTGACAGCTGTGGGTGTGGAGGGGAAAGAGGGAACGGTGGGGACAGGGCGCTAGTGAAGCCCCCAAAGCACCACACACACACACCACACAGGAGCTGGCCTGGGGGCATGCATGGTCACTGTAGTGGTGGTGGGAGCAGTCGGGGGTACCTGGGGGTCCAACACCCACCAAGAGAACAGCTAAGGGAGCAGTGGGGGCACCCCTGTGGTGGGGGGCGTGGACAGCCACAGGATGATGTTCACAAGCCCACATCTGGCAAAGCACACCCACAGATGCACATCAGACACAGGGCAAGCGTCCACGCATCCATACGTCCGCCCAGGGAACGGAATGGAAGGGTGCTCTTGCACAGTTGTGTGATCTTAGTCTTAGATCTTAGACCCGAGATCTTAGATTTACGCGGCCCGCGGCTCCGAGGCCCATGGGTGGCAGGCTGTGTCCGGGCCTCCGCATCCACGTGTAGAGAGAATTCTGGGAGCCCGTCCAGCCGTGCCCTTCCACGAGCTAAAATGGTCTAGGAGCGCCACAGCTTACACAGAGGTGGGACTCGCGCCGTGGCTTCGCAAGCACGACTTCTTGGGAAACACCGAAGCAGGAACTTGCGACCCGGCGTGACCTGGCCTCCCCAGCCCGGTACAGGCACACATGCCATCCAGCCACCAGGTCAGGGCCCTCCCACGCTCCCGCCACTGTCATCAGTTACCGCAAGGCGTCCTGCAGACCCGCCAGTTCCCACAAGTCACGCTGCCCTGGCCCCAGGTCGGAGCCTGAACTCTGCTCTGGGCCGTCGTCCGTCCTCTTCCCTTTGGACACCTCTGGCTGACCACCTCACTTCTACTTCTGGACCTTGAGCCTTTGTGACCCTGGCTGACTCCAGTGGCGTGACCCTTTGTGTATGGCCACTCTTGAACGCAAATGCAGCCATCGGCAACACAGCGCCCCCTGCCAGACGGTGATTCCCATCCGGAAGGGGCCTGGCCTGTCTCCGGGATCCCCTGGTCCAAGGGCACAGTCTCTATCACATTGCTCGGGCTCCTTGACCCCACACCCACCCCCCGCCCTGCTCCCCACCGCCTGCAGGTCAAGCTCCAAACAGCTTTTAGTTTCCCGCCTTTGCACACCTTCCATCCGGTCCCAGCTCTGTCCTCCACCACGAGCCCCCAGGCCAAGCTGGTCCGCCTCCCAACTCCTACCCACCCTGCAAAGCCCACACAGGTGCCACCTCTTCTGAGCTGCCCCATGGACTCCAACCGCCCCAGGTGTGTGCCACCCTGCGCTGCAGACCCACCTGAGCCTCCTCGCTTCTCCTGCTGGGCCATCACTGGGTCCCCTGGCGTGTGTCCCCGAGAGATCGTGGACCGACCATGTCTGCACACTGGGTGGGAACGCAAGTTCACTCGGCCCGGCCTGATTTCTGTTTGGCAAATAATGGTTCTTCCTCTTTACTCCCCACAGAAAACGAGTGATTGGTTTTCTTTCCTCATTTTTGGAAGCCCTGCCTACCACACA